TGTTAGAAAATTTATTTGGGATGTATAAAATTCTTGAATGTGCAGTGCCCATCTTTTCACATCTGTGCTTGTGTATGTGTAAGGCATAGTCTAAGAAAAGGTTAAATAGATTAGGGCTATTATGTTCCCATATTGGTGTCCTTGTGATTTTGTGAATAGATATAGGTCTTCTATGAGATTTAGACATTTGCTAGTCTCAGAGATACTTTAATCTTTCAAAATTATTTTACTGTTTAAATATTTAAGTATTTAATATTATAATATATCTATGCTTAAGATAAGGAAGAGGCAGATGAAATTTATGGGCCACGTGATGAAAAAGGAGGGCCTAGAGAATCTGATACTTAGATGAATAGAGGGAAAAGAGATATTCAAATTTCCAACACGTTATCATGTGGCCAAATTGAGCAGATAGATAGTTAGCATGGTCTGGGTGAGTTGGCAATTGACAAAACCTGTAGAGAAAAATTTACAAATTTATAGGGATAAAGGAGGGACCATGATCGCCTATGTCCTAAAAGGACACAGCACATAAAAAGAAAAGAAAAAGATTATATCTATTATCATATATATTATTTATACTATAATAATATAAAATTAATATAATATATATTAATATTTATAGTTGAATAATATACTAGCTGACGTATCCAGAAATTCCTGGGAAAGTGGATGTTATCCCCAGCTCCGGTTCTCATCGTCTTTCTTCTGTTATCTAAAAGTAACAATTCAAAGTAACTATCACTGTAAAGGGATTTTGTGCATTCACAGAGAATACCCAGCTGCCACCCCTAGGAATTTTGGAGGAAATACCAATAAGATTATGAATATTAAAATCATAAAGCAACTTACATAATAACAGGCAAATCAGTTATCCGAAAGTTACGCTTCAAAGTAGTCCTGAAAAGGGCTTTTGCCCGTTCACAGAGAATATAGACCTTAGGAGAGCTAGTGTTAAAATAAATTTACAATAGATGTACAAATGACTGACATATAGTTTCATAATAGACTTGCAAATAGATTTATATATAGATTTACAAATCATGAACTGTCACTTTCTTTGGAGATAAAATGACATGGGTTCTCAGCCAGTTGTGATCTGTAAACTGATTCCTCAGGTTAGGAAATACCCTTGTCATTTAAATCAGATACCATATATCTAAAAGGCAAACTGACCTGGCCATCCTGCTCACCAACCAAAGTGCTATTACCAACATGCAATAGTTGATTAGAAAAATTACCAGCATCCTCACCACCACTGAATTGCACTCTTATGTTGGTTGTTGGTCTCAGCTTTTTCATACTGCTCCATAGGTAGGGAGACTTTATACTAGCATTTACCTCATCAGCTCTTGTCTCTTTCGGAATCACTGGAAGGGTTTGTCTAAAGTCTCCCACAAGCGAGACTGTTGCACATCTCATAAGCTGTGTGTTTTGTCTAAAATCCTGAAATGCAATGTTGAAAGTTTCAAAGGAACCCTTATGGCTCATTGTCACCTCAACCCAGATGATTAATTTGTAATTGCTGTGGCATTTCCTTTTTATAAAATGACAACTGATGGGATGTTGCCTTCTCATTCTTGAACAGGTCCAAAGAGAGTTTGAAGCATGAATGAGCTGTGTGGCCACCAATTAACAGGGCTGCTGCTATTCCACTTGACACCACTGCTAGAGCAATACATTTAGCCAGAATTAGGTTGATGATAAATGTCTTGCCAGTTCCACCTGGGGCATTGAGGAAGAATAGATCTCCTCTTTCACCTCCAATGCTCAAAATAATTGTGTTATAAACACCCAGTTGGTCTTCCATCAGTTTATGTTTGTTATCAGCTATATACACTGTCATTTCCTCAATTTTCATAACTGGTCACCCACATGTATTCAATTGGGAGATTGTTTGCTGCCAGCTCAGGTTGAGTGAAGCCAAATGTGGCAATTCCTTGATTTCCCATAGCTTACATTCAGATGTCCAGGTCAACTAATGCCTCATTGTATTTGGCATCATTGAACATGACTATTTCTGCTGAGTTTTGCCTTTGAATCCTTTGTAGGATGTCCACTGCCATACTGGTTTTGTGGATTACCCAAAGCTTGAGAGGTTCACCCAAGCCACATTTCATCAACATGATGGAAAATAGCTGGTACAGTTGACTTGCTGCTCTGCTGATTGCTGCTTCCTCTAGTGTCTGGTCCCAGTGGGCATCATCCTCCAGTAGTCCATGTTTGGTGCAAGCTTCTCTGTAGGTCTGTGATTATGTAGGACTTCTGACAGTGTGCAGTAGCAGATGCAGAAAGAATCACTCCTGTTGATAGCAATGCACAGTGTACATCCACTTCAGAAGACAGCATTTTCTTCCCAGCCCTCAACTTGTGCTCCTTGCTTGTGCCTGCTCCATCTATTGTGTACCCAGATGTAGTAGATGGGAACCTCAAGATACAGCTGTATTCATGCAAACAGGTCACTGGCATAATTTGAAGAATGCTGTCAAAGTGGTTTCTGGTGTATTCTCAACTACATCTTGAGCAGTATCTTCTGTGAAATATACACGCTGGCCATTTTCAAGATGAACAGCTAGATTCATCACTGTTGGATGCCGATCATGGTTTCTGAAGTCTAGATGCAACACATTGCCTCATTAGAGGAAATATATCTGCCCAACTGATAGATTATATGTTGTATATTGGTAGAACTACACAAATGCATAGCAGAGAGGTACTGAGAATTTTTGAATTTTTTTTTTATCAGCTGAATATAGATTTCAATATTGAATGGAGTGAAAGGTTTAAAAACAATTCTTTATTAAATTTTTGATTTCAATTTTGCTTTTCATCTAATTAAACCACTATAATCAAAAATAAAACAACAGGGAAGGGTATGTGGCTCATGCTGATAAGGATGTTTGGATTTCTTAAGAAGGATGTCTATTTCCACAACTAAATTTTTTTACACAGTATATAGCACAAAAGGTTCTTTCAAACAGGATGTTATTCCACAGACAACAGCTACAACTACAATATGCCTTTTTAAGGGTAGGTTGAAATATGAACCTAGGTAAAGATTCTATTTGTGAATAAGTTCAATTTAAATTTTATTTTACATTTAAATGACCAAATAGATCAAATCAATTTCTTTGTATTTAATAAATTTGAACCTGGCAGATTTAATGCACATGGCAAAATTTGAAATGAATTAATTTTTTTTGAAACATAAACACACTACATGATCATATTCAAAGAAAGATTATGCTGAATTAATGTGTTAAATAAAGATTTTATTAAGAAATAAGCTGAAATTCGTTCAAATGTTATCCCCTAAATTTTAAAAATAGAACAAAGATCCATATCTGGAGTTTTAAGCTTTATAAGACTTATTAATTTTGTAACATGCATATCTTAATTTCTAAAAAGTTTCTTTTTCCAATTATTCCCTTGCAAAACAGTGATAAATAGTGTTTTTTTATAGAATCTGACAGTTAAAAGCCACCCTATTGAGCGGAATTTAAGCTAGCTTCTGTGAAGGAGTTTTGAGTGGGCTTTCATCACAATAGGTAGGGAGGAGTAGATGTGATAGGCAACAATAAACTACAGAAGAACTCAAAATTGATCACTGCATTTAAGTATTGCATTAATATTTAAGCTTACCTTTTAAAAGTTCAATGATAATTCTTCTGCCACCACTTAATTTAAAGACAATTTTATGTATGTAGGTCCTTACTTTCCATACAAAACAATTATTTTTTTATTTCATGGGTGACTTTTGCTGGATTTTTGCAATTAATTTTGATTATTCCCAAATTTATTTCCAAGTTATAAAAATTGTTATTGTACAAAAAAATTTGTTGCAAAAAAAAAAATCATAAAAAAAAAATGAAAAACAATTGCAGTAATGAAAACTTGGGAATCCAAAATTTCAGGATTGCAAGTCCGGATCTGGACTGGAATGTTTTTAATTTGCTCATAGAGTCAGCCTGATTCCAGAATGGTATAATATGTTGAGCTACGGCCTTTAGGAGTAAAGTTAAAAAAAAAACGGAGAATTTTATTTTGAAACACTGTAATTTGAGAACAGTAATTTTTTCATTTGAACATGAGCTATTGGAAGTTAGAGTGTCACTTTAATTGTTTTTATCAGTAGAAGTGAAGATGGTGGAATCTAAAAACAATCACAGTAATGAAAACATGGGAATCCAAAATTTCAGGATTGCAGGTTCAGATCCAGCCCGGAATGCTTTAATTTGCTCATGGAGTCAGCCTGATTCCAAAATGGTATATGTTGGGATACAGCCTCTAGGAGTAAAGTTGAAAAAGTGTGACACACTGACATTTGCATTTATTATATAGATGTTATAATATTTATATTATATTAAATATAATAAGTTAATATGAAATATTTATTTTACTGTTTAAATATTTAAAAACATTTTCTACTTTACTGGCGTCAGAGATTCACAATTCTTTTGATCTTTGAAATTTATTTCTCTGTTTTAAAGGGATAATGGTTTTAAAATTTTAATGTAAAGGAAATTTATTTGGAGATAAAAAATGTATTAAAAAGAAGGATATTTTTTTTCCAGATATTTAAAGATTTCTTTTGTTTTGTTTTTTCTAGATAAGAATGCAAAAGTTTCACCTACACGGTGATGCAGAAGTCCACATATACATGGGTGATATCACCTCAATAAATGCAGATGCTGTTGTTAATGTGGCTAATAACACACTGTCCAACCAACATGGGCTTAACAAGATAATAATGGAATGTGCTGGAAAGAATGTTGTGAATGAAGTAAAAAGAAAGGTTAATTCTATGCCAAACAAGAGACTAAATTTTGGAGATGTCTTAGTCTCAGGGTCTGGCAAGCTTGTCTCTAAGAATATTATCCACACAGTAAGTGTCACATTTAAAAGTTCGCATGACAGCAATAACTTGGCTGTACAGGAAGTAATACAGGCTTGCTTGACAAAAGCCAATGCAAAAAAATTCAAGATTTTAGCATTTCCAGCCATAGGCACAGGTGTGTAAGCTTTTATTTATTTTATGATACTAACTTAAAGGCTGCTAAATGTGGCCTTTAAATTCAGGATTTAGTTACATCCTGTTTATAAAATTTGTTTACATATCCCATCAAAAAATAACGGAAATATTTTAAGTATTTACATTATTCACACTGTTATTGTCATCTTCATTGTCATATTCACAATGTTTCGGCCATTGTACACTCTAGCCTTCTTCAGGTGATTGGAATTTCAAACACAACCCTTTATTTCATGAATATGGCAATGAAGATGAGGTTAACAATCTGAATAATGCAAAAAATCATAATACCTCATCTCAAAATTTTTTTTTATATTTAAGTATATTATTTATTTTAAATAGATATTGTCCTCATCTTTGGGAAATTTTATTTATGACAAAGAAAAATTGTACACTTTCATTTTCTTCAGGTGGTTGGAATTTAACTGAACCCTTTTGATTTCTTTATTTTTTCACTGGACATTTTGTTCTAGTTCCACGTTCATGTTTTGATGGATGTTATCCTATCAGTTATAACCAAATTTTCCCTCTGAAATTTCTCCACTGCCTTAACCGGGTATTGAACTCACACTCTTTTTAGGTCTTGTTTTTGGATGTATTTTTTTGCCTTTATCCACTGTGCCATGTGTCCTTGAGGACCCAAAGAGTGTGAGTTTTTATTTCTTGTTAAGGCAGTGGAGAACTTTTTAGAGGGAAAATTAAAAAGATAACTGATAGCTGACATCCATCAAAAACATGGCACGTGGAACTAGAACAGTCTTTCCCAGTGAGCGAAATTTTCCATTCAGTTTGACATTCCAACCACCTGAAGAAGGCTGGAGTTTTTAAAAGCCGAAACGTTTTAAATATGTTAGAAAAGATGAAAAACAATAAAATTAATAATGTAAATAATATACATAATACCTCATCTCAGAAATATAGACAAATATTTAAGTGTTTGCTCTTTTATAAGTAGAATACAATTACAAAATTACTATCCACTGATCCATAAAGTAAAAATTAATTTCAAACATGATTCCTTATTTGTTAAGTTTAAAATAACAAAATTCTGTTTCCATAATGTCAACAGAAGTGTTCACCACATAAAGTTGAGCATTCTACCCATCTTTATGTCACTTTTGATGTTATATTCAAACAATTTGTCAATATCCAGGCAAATTCCTGTTTAAGATTTCATTTGTGGAAGTATTCAATCACACCACAAGAGTAGTGGTAATAGAATTTTAGGATTGTTTTTATGAAGATAAAAACAGGAAAGATAAATGTACACAATACAGAGAAAGCATGACAAATTGTATTATAATTTCATACAAGTTTCATGTCAGCTGTAGATTTTCTGGGTGTGAGATATAGATAGTCTTCAAAACCTTTTTAAATATTACTTGATGCCTTCCATATTTTGTCTCAGGATCTTCTAAAATGCCAAGTGGCAGGACAAAATCCCAGACACTGAAGTGCTTCAGTATGCTGGGATGGAGAGCATCCATGCCATCCTACTGCACTATCCACCATATGGACGCCAGTCGCCTCTCAAAGAGATTGCTCTATAATATATATCCTCAGGCAAACAAATTCTTGGCAAAGATGGGCCATTAAGACATGCTGAAGGAGTTAGCTCAAAAATTGTTTTATTCCCCATTCCATCTGGGAAGAGTCTACTGAGAAACGTACCATCTGGCACTCTCTTGTAAAATCTGGAGTGTCAGATTTTGAAGAGAAAAGAATCGGGGACAAAGAACAGAGACACCAGGAAAGGAAAGATCCATGTGTTCCACTTCCCAGCCTGGTTCAGTCCCCAGTATTACACATCACAACTGCAACAGACTTTTCAGGGCAAAGATTGGACTCATTAGTCATCTCTGCAAATGATTCAAAGTCAAGGCCATCTCTGCATGTGAAGGATGAACATACATTTATATATTTTTGTGTATTGGTGTGTGCATTTTACATAACAGTTGTTTTAATATTCATACTATAAAAGGAAGTAAGTTACTCCATAATATCACAAATCTTATCATGGAGGGAAATTACACATGCATGGTCATCCCAACAGTTTTTGGGCAAAGAGAGTGAATCTCACATCTTTTGACGGCATGTCTATATTTCCGACAGGAACAGTTTTTGTTGCATGCTGGGAGTAATTTTATTATTTTTATTTTTTATTTATTTTATTTTAAACCAGGTTTAAATATTATTGTTTTATTTTATTTTATTTATATAATTTTCATTGTTATTATTATTTTATTTATTTGTAACTAATAATATCCCGACAGGTTTCTGGTTCCTTCTAAAATCTACTTCAGCTCCATACTCTTAACGTCTCTGACTAAATTCTGAAATTTCATTCACTATTTATTTCATTTTTGTTTTTCCATTCCTTCACCAATAGGAATAGAAAGGTTCATCTATTGCCTGGTTCACACTCCTCCTCGGTCTTTTGAACAGAAGTAGAGTAGATTGTGAATTTGCTAGTTGTCTGAAAAAATTCCCAGCACTAGTTTTTCAAAACTAGACTGTTAAAAATTGATTTTTTTTTTTTTTTACTAGAAACAGTTGCACATACCTGAAGCTTTTCTTGTACCTTTTAAGTAAAAATTTTTTTCAGATGCTCAAATTTAAATGACTTATTCAGGACATCATAAGTTAGTGATTTTCAACAAATGGCTCTAACACATAGTGGGTTGCTAACATTAGTTGGTGGTGACCTGACACAATTGTTTGTCATTTTAGATTTAAATAATAAGACAGACAAAAAAAAGTTAAAATGTTTTTTTTTAATCAATTCACCCCAAGCAAGGCAATAATGCCACTGAGATCCAAGGGGCTACTGGGAGTAAAAATTGAATAAAAAAAACTTTAGAATTAAGGGTTAAATCTCCATTCCTGTTAAAAAAATTTGGGAGGAATATGAACCAGACAATAGGTGAACCAGTCTACTCCTATTTAGGAAAATAAAAAAAATAGTAAATAAAATTTCAGATTTTAGGCAGAAACATTAGAAGTATAGAATTGACTTTAGAAGGAAACCCAATCCTAGACAGAAGACAAGGGCCAAACCTCTACCCCTGTTCAAAAGACCGGCAAGGAGTATGAACCGGACAATAGGCAAACCTATCTCATCCTGTTGAGGAAAAAAAATGTAAATGAATAATAAATAAAAGTTCAGAGTTTCAAGCAGAGATGTTAGAAGCATAGAGTTGAAGTAATTGAAAACCTAATCTTAAACAGAAATCAAGGGTTAAACTTTTACTCCTGTTTAAAAGATCTCAGCCTTCAAACTTATTATCCACACAATCTCAGATTTGAATATGTAAGTTATGTTTTTCACAATGAAATTGCTATTAACCAAATGAGGTTGGTTAAATTTTCAAGTTATATATTTGTTAACTATGAATAAATACTTCTATTTAATTTGTATCATTATTAAGTTATAAAATTGACTCAATCTAAAATTACTAAACTATGTCAAATTTTATTATATAAGTTAATGTTTCAATAATGAAATGTATTTACTCTGATTAATTTCAGCTTATAATCTGTTTTTATTAGAATATTTTTGATAAATAAACAATTTGATGATGTCAAAATAATTTAAGAGAATTTTTGTAAGTCATTTTTTGATTGGCACACATTACAACGAAGAAACTTTAAGCTAAAGAATCTATTTATGCAAGACAATGTTTGTTTGTATTCTGTAAGTCTTGCTTATTTGCCAACATTACCAAAATAAGTTTTTCAACAAAACCAAATTAATGGTGTAATTACTAGTCTCATTAGAAAATTAATGATGCAATATTAAGAGTCATACAAGAATGGAAAACAATAAAGAAAATTTATTTCATAATAAAATTGGACACTCCTCAAATAAGTCCTTATCAGTATTTTTAAAAAGAATAGATATTATAAGCAAAAGGTTACACAATATATTACTCGTGTAAATATATATATATATCCAATGTAATGAGAATGAAAATAATATATAAATTCTAACGTTCACAGCATTAATTCAAAAGAGGGCTCAATACCAATAGTAGAGCAATAATTATGTATTATAATTTTTTCATATACACAAAAACAGTTTACTCACTACAAAGATGCAACTTTGTTTCAGTGCATTTCAATTGCACCTCGACTGGTGAGGACCAAAAATGGTTATGAACAATTAGTGAGTAAACTGTTTTTGTCTATATAAAAAAATTAGAATAAATAATATGTATATGATTAAACAATTTAGACATTTTGTGTTTATTTATTTTCAATAAAATTCCTTCGTAATTTCACATATAAGAAACAAAAAGCTTATATGTAATTATGAAAGGATTTTATTGAAAATAAACAAATACAACATATCTAAATTGTTTAATCATATAATATATATAAGTTAATGATCAGAGTTGAATTGGCCCAGGAAACAGTAGTATTAAAAAAGTGCTCAATGCACATATAAAAAAATAAAAATTTAACATGTAGAGCTTTTAAGTATAGAAAATTAGGAAATTAGCCAATTCCACAACTTTGGTTTCAACCTTTCAGTATCTTCAGACGATTTTGGTCGTTTGATTTCCTAACACATTTTTTGGGGATTTTTGCTTTTGATCAGTCAATGTGGCTATTTCAGAGAGTGTGATGGACAGACTAACAGAAGTCACAGAATTTTATATATAGACTTTAAATTGTGAATTTGGAAAGGTGAGGACAACAGTCTGAATGATATAAATAGTATAAATAGTTACAATACCTCATCTCAAAAATATAGATAGATCCTAAAGAAGGCCGGAGCATACAACGACTAAAACATTGTAAATATGGCAATAAAGATGAGGACAACAGTCTGAACAGTGTAAATAGAGTGAATAGTTACAATACCTCATCTCAGTAATATAGACAAAATGATAACTAGAGTTGATTTTTCACTTATAAATGAGTGTATCTAGCTAAATGATAAGGTTGTAGAAAAGTTAAAACCACTGTACCAAAATCTAAATTGATCATGTATTATGGCCTAATTCTAGCAAATTATTTTCTTCTGCAGGATTGTCTCGCATACGTCATATGGAATGTGCAGATGCTTATGTCAATGTGCTGAAATCCTGGAAATACTCTTATCCAAAAGAAATCCATTTTGTTATCACTAAGAAAGCACTTCTGGATAAAATTCAAGCCACATTTGCTTGTCATTTTCCTCTTGTAACTGTAACACCACAGAGCAGGTAAGGAATGGCATCGAAGGCTTCAGTTTGATTTGTCAGCAATCCAATTCCTTCTGATATCCATTTGCATATTTAAAATTAACAAGTGGCTCTATGGATGGCGGGAGATCTGCTATGGAACTTAAGAGGGGGCCCTGAAGCAACTTATTTTTAATGAGTGATTTTTGAAACAAAATGTTTTTTTAAGTACCATATATACTTGCATATCATGCAACATTTGAAGACCTGATTTTGAAGCTAATTTTAAGGGGGTCACATCATACATGAGATGTAAAATTAGTGTATGTATTGTTGGCCCTGGCTACCCCACTGACCAAACTATATATCCATTTACAGTAGTCAAATTAGCTTAAAAATTAGGTCTTTAAGGGTCACATGATACGCAAATATATACAGTATTTGTTATTAAAATTAAACCATATTCATGATAGTATCATAAGCCAATGTTTTGAAGTAGGTAATTTGGGCTTTAGAATATACCCTAACAACCATTTCATATTGCCTCAAACTTCCCCTGTAATTGGTAAAATTTCAAAATTTTCTTGTGCAGCACATAAAACCCCAGGCTGTATAGTTTTGTTGATCCTCCTGGAATCTTACACTGTTCTGGGTATGATGATAAACTACATCCAACAGCAAGGCCTCTGATCAGGAGGTTTTGAGGAGCGTTGAACCACTTCTTAATTGCAGGTGTTCGCAGGTCTACCCTGACTTGCGGTGATAACACCTGTTAAGGTCTCAGCTATGGGCAAATGGTTAGCCCTTAAGCTGTAGTCAAAACACTATGAAAGTGTAAAAATAGGTTTTATTACCAACAATACATTTTTGAAGAAAAAAGTTATTACCAGCAACATATTATTACCAGCATTTTGAAAAAAAATATTAACAGCAATACATTCAATACATTTCTGAAAAAGAAAAACATTACCAGCAATACATTTTTGAAAAAAAAATAATACCAGCAATAAAAATTTTGTTGGCATTAAATAACCCATTGAAATTGATATGCCATAAACCAAACCAAAAGGGATCAAAACACTATGAAAGTACATAAATAGATTTTTATAGTAAATAAACCATTAAAAAAACATTATCCACAATACATTTTTGAAAAAAAATATTGCCAGTAATACATTTTTGAAAAAAAATGTTACCAGTGATACATTTGACTCTTGACAAAAACCCTCTTTACAAAAATACGTCAATGAAACCTAATCTACAAACTGAATTTTTACAAAGAATACATATTCTATTCATACGAACATATCCTAAAAATCTTGTTGGCATTAATAAGCTATCGAGGCTGATATGCTGTAAAACAAAATGCAACAAAACTGCTTTCTTAGAGAACATTTTTTGCCTTCTATCTGCATGGTTGATGCTAACCTTCAGCAGAGTGAGTCTTTGTACCTTCTTGGATAGCATTTTCTGCTGGCATAAAGTGGAAAGATTATATTGCTAGATCTGCTGCCAGAAAAGTTGGTTCACTGTCTCATGACAATTTTTCTCACAGAATCTATCTTACACCTCTATAAGTCTACCATTCGTACATGCATTGAATATTGCTGGTACATCTGGTCTGGTGCTTCTTAGATTCTTATTAATATACAAAGAAGAATTTGCAATGTTATTGGTCCTAACCTGGCATCTTGGCTTCAGTCACTTTCCCATTGTTATAATGCAGCTTCCATGTGCCTTTTCTGTAAATATTGTTCTGATGAGCTTTCCTCTTTGGTACCTGGACTTTATGAAGTAATAGATTAGTGGCAAGATCTCATAAGAAAAGATGTGCTGTTTATGTGGTATCTTGAAGTGCATATAATTGATAAAATAAATCACATTCTTTTTCTACTGCCTCGTTCCCAGTAGCAGTCACACATGATGTCATGTTAGACAGTTTCAAACATCTAGCACCCAAAAGAATACCAAGAGGCAGACAAAGGAATTAAAACTTCCAGACAGATGCATCATTTCTTTATAATGACAGGAAAGTCAGAATTACTTGAAGAAAAATAAAAAAAATATGAACATTAAACAGTTTATCCACAACTTCGAACATAATACTAAAAAAAAATCACTATTGAACAGTTCATCACTCTCAGTACCTGATGAATGGGAAAGCCATGAAACTCCTAGTCATACTGCAAATGTAGGCATATGTGTAATTATTAATATATACTTTATAGCTCTGCTTAACTACATTGAGCACTGTTTTGTCTACACCAAAAATTAAATATTTATTTGTTCATCTGTATGTGTACATAATGGCACGCATATATGGTTGCTCTTATCTCTTTATTTAGCTCATTTATATATATCAGTGTGGTTAGACATATGATTGCTTCAAGCTGGGATGAAAACCTGACTGATTTGACATCAGTTGGAGTCTCTCACCCTTAAGCTATCAGTGAATGCAGCATCAGAGAAAGGGGATTTTTAACACATTATATACGAGATATAAGCATGACCGGTTACCAAAGTGCTCAATTCATAGTGAAGAGCTTTTAGCGACAAATTCTCTTTCTTCCAAAGAGCTCAACTTATGAGAAGGGCAGATATAGATATAGTAATTTCTAAGGAATCAATGGATTTCTTATCTGACATTTTTTTCCTACTGTTGCAAATATTATTTTGTAGATACCCATGTTTGAGTAAACATAATTTACACTGTTTATAAAAACAGGGTGTCTACTCAAACATAGGTATACACAAAATAATGTTTGGAGTTTATGCATATATACATACATGTATACATATATCTTGTATTTTAACAAAAATCATACCAAAACAGTGTTATTCCGACATATCAAAAATAGTGTTCATACCTAAATGGTAAAGCAAAGTATAATTTTAAATAACATAGTGGTATATAAGAGGATCATTGTTCATAAATCAAAAACAGTAATTCAGTATAATGTTTTAATGTCATTTTCAAATTAATCAGGCAATTTCACACCAGAATCGTACATTCTCAATACCAGGGGTTTTTGCTGCTTATACTGCAAATCAACCAAAAAATGAGAGAATGATTGGCACTTCTGCTTAAGATTAACATTGTACTTATTGTCCATATCATTGTTGTTATCACTACATTTCAGCTGTTGTGCTCTCTGGCCTTCATCAGGAGCATATTAATCTGGGTAATCTTCAGGGAATTCTGAACTGAACTTTTTATTTAATCTACAAGCGAGTTGACTGTTCTCATTCCACTGCAAGTCTAGGGATATCATCTAGTTCTTATTTTGTACTGTTCAGTTATTGTGTGCCTAATTCAATTGAGTTCAAGTAAACACTGCCCAACCCAAATGACATAAAGGGTTCAGTTCAGAATTCCTTGTAGGTTACTCAGATTGATATATATCTGAAGAAGGCCGGAGGGCAGAATGGCTGAAACATAATAATAACAAAAACAAATATGAGGATAATGGTCCAAATATAAATAGTGTAAATATTGATAATTGCTCATCCCAGAAATTCATACAAAAATCTAGTCTATATATGAAATAATGTTTTCATGTTTTATGATGTCCATTTGATGTTGGATGATCTTTGAATACAAAATATTTTACAGAAGTTAGACTTTTGTTTCATTTACAGATTTCCAGAAATCAAAGAATTTTACTAAAGTTCTGTAGGAGTTGAAAAGATTTTCACTAGATTCTATCATCTTCTTCATCATTAGTAGTAATAACCAATCAGTCAACCAAAGTTGACTGCAGTTGGAATAACATTGCAAACTATGATCCTTTCATTAGTTGCATACTATGAGGTTCTCCAGGATTACATACAGTTTTCAATTTAGAGTTTGCCTTCTCTTAGACTGGTTGCCACCCAAGGCTGAGGTGTTGTTTTATTGTTGTAGTTGAAATCTTACTCTCTTCAGCAATTTTATTGTTTCCTTTTCTTTTTAATCATATAACACTGAAAATCCTATTCATTGCTTTCATCTAAATTAGAGTCAAATCAAATCAAATTCAGGTTATCGACACTGTAGCGATACAAAAAAATAACATTTTGTAAGTAATGGAAATGGAAGGCCAGGAAATGTAGAGACTTTATCTGATGATTGTGTGTGGATGTGTGTGTGTGTCTGAGGGGTGAGTTGAGAAAATCTAAATTCATATTTTGCTGATAATCATTAAGGGGTACACAAGACTGAAAAAGTTAGTTGTTTGGTTTTTTTTTATCAACCATTATGGGTTATTTAATGCTGAAATCTAAATATTTTGTACGTAATTTTACGACTTCAACTACAGATATTTTGTACATAATTTTATACTTTCAGGGCAAATATTTGTTTTATTGTAGTTTGTAGATGATAAAATGTATTGCTGGTAATTTTACTATAAAAATGTATTTTTATACTTTAGTGCTATATTGATTGTTATTTTGCTATAAAAATGTATTACGACTTGTCATTTTTTATAAATATATTGCTGGTAGTTTTACTATAATGTATTTTTATACTTAGTGAACCACCAAACAAAAATCAAAACACTATTTTCCCATAGCTGAAACCCTAACAGGTGCTACCACCTCGTGACATGATGGACCTGGGAACAACAGCAATAAAAAGGTGGTTCCACACTTCTCAAAACTTCCAATCTCTTGATCAGAGGCCTTGCTGCCAGATATAGTTTATCATCATACCAAGGACTAAGACTGAAAAAGCAATGATCTTTTCCAGTGCAGCTCTATTGTTTTGTTATAATAAATCTTTTATAAAAATTTAATTTGAATATTTAAAATATCACATCACCAGGGACCAAAACTATAGAAGCATATAACTCCAAGCAAAGCAATAAAGCCACTAAGATGCAAAGGGTTACAGAGTGTGAAGACAATAAAAGACCAAGAATTAAAAATACAAAAGATAACAACTGACATTTAAATTTTTGAAGATAAAAAGTTGACTAAGAAGAAAGAAGCCGGAAGAGAGTTCCACAAGCAAGAAGTGCAATAGAAGAAACTGTTTGCATAGAACAGTTACATCTAGCTATTTCAACTGTAAAATGATGAGACCTTGCCACCAATTTAGTACTGTACTTTTATTCACAAAGTCTAGGTACCATAGCAGAATGTTCATCAGAACAATTACCATGAAAGTATTTATAGAAAAGGCACAGGGAAGCTATATTACAGTGGTGGGAAAGGGACTGAAACTGAGATGCCAGGTCAGAGTCAGTAACATTGCAGATTCATCTTTAGATTTTAACAAGAATCTCTAAATATATAGCAGGAGCACACGACCAAATATGGCAGCAATATTCAAAGATAGAACAAATGGTGGACTTAAAAATATGTAAAATAGATTCTATCAAGAAAAATTGTCTAGCACGACATAGTGAGCCAACATTTTTAGCTACAGACTTAGCAATTGATTCAATATATACTTTCCACTTCATGTCAGCTGAAAACGATAAGAAAGCACAGTGAGTCCCAATTTACAGATAATTTTCTGCAAGCAATTTGTCCTTTCACTATTTTTTAGTTAATTAAATCTTAAACTGTTTTTCTTGTAAAGATTATCTTTACCAAAGAGGAATCTTTTTACTCTAATTCTCTTCTCCACCTCACTGCCATTAAACCCCACTCTGTGGAATATAAGGGTTACACTCTCACCATGCTGGATATGGATGCTGTGATATCTATGGCTAGTAAGTCTTTACAGGGCAGAGTTTCTAGCCAGATGACCAATCAATTTTAAATTCAAAGTAATACTTCACCTAAAATGGCTGCCAACTAAGGCTAGAGGACCCAGTTAGCCCTGCTTTTTAATCCATAACTGGAAGTAAAAGAAACAGGTTCAGACATTTCTAAAGGATATTTGGGCAAATATGAAATTGAAAAACTTAGCTTGCTGATTCTATTTTTCTAGTTCAGTGCTTATTAAAACATGGGTCACGACCCAAAATGCTGGGGTCACAAAAATTAAAACACATGAATTTGCTGAGGAACTCAAACTTGAAACTTTACAAAAAAATTTTTGACTGAATTCTGGATCGGGGCTAAAACTGAATCTCCCACAATTTCTGAAATGTTATTGCATGTTCTTTTGTCATTTAACACAACATACTTATGTGAAACTACTTTTTCAGCTTTAAGCCTTATTAAAATCAAATATCGTTCAACACTGAAAAACGTATAAGCCTTACATCCAGCATATTACACCAAGATTTGTTATACAGCAAAAAACAAGCACATCCATCACATTAATTTTTATTTTGGTTTATTTTTGTACTTGAAACAAATCCTAAAACTACTTTTATTTTGACAAATAATATAACCAATTTCTTATATGCATATTGTTCAGCAAAAAATGATTTATTATTTATTTGTATGTTTTATTTCATATTTAATACCTATGGTTGCAAAAAATCTTGTGATGAAAAATGTGGTCATGAATGGAAAAAGTTTAAGAAGTGCTGTTGATCATAAATACATATTGTATACATCCATCCACATCAAGCTGATTATTTTGATAAAATTAAACCAATGATTCTTAACCTTTTTCCTTGTTCACATCCCTTTCAAATGGCCAAACAGTTCTTACACTTCTTTTAAACCACCAACCAGTTCTTGCTCCCCTTTCAAGCCGCCAACCAGTTCTTGCTCCCCTTTCAAACTGCCAACCAGTTCTTGCTCCACTTTCAAACCACCAACCAGTTCTTGCTCCCCTTTCAAACCACCAAACAGTTCTCGCTCCCCTTTCAAACCACCAAATAGTTCTTGCACCCCTTTCAAACCACCGACCAGTTCTTGCACCCCTTTCAAACCACCAACCAATTATCGCTCCCCTTTCAAACCATTAACCAGTTCTCACACCCACTTCCAGAATTGATAAAGAAAAAAAATATTGATCTCATGTGTAAATAACAAAACCATTGTGTTTCTTTTAATACTTATTCACATGACAGATAACAAAATAATGCATTACAAAAGCCCACATTACTTTCATATTAGCAGAAAAATAAAATTACTGTAACATGTGCTTGTACTATGCATGGTGTGTTATGAATAATTTTGGTTGAACAACAAACTCAGAGATTTTGTTGTTGTTGTTGTTTTCTGTTTATGGTATCAAACTTTGGTGCTGAGTGCTACTTGCATGTCATGTTGAGGATCCAGTACATTTCTGCTCTTGGTTTTGATGTGAAGCAGACAGGAAAATTCAGTTTTGCACAGGTATGTAGTCACGAAAGTCACCAGCACATTGAGTACTTTTTTGCCAGTGTATGTTTCTAACTGATAAGTCTAGAATTGCTCTGGGCAACCATCAGTGGACTCCATTTGTATTCTCCGATTGTTTTTTTTTAGTATACATTTACACTATCATAATTGTAGCAATTTGCAAAATTTCTACAATGTAAACTTTTATGTCAGATCGCCAAACACTACACTAGAATTTCCTTAATAAACCAACTGTAATGATTCTGTATCCTTGTATCCTTGAATCAATCCCTTAGGAATCAATATTACACCTCAAATGAAAAGAATTAGAAATTTTTTACAATTTTTTTTATTTCACTTTGAAACAGATGTTAAACATAACTATCTTCTCTTTTTTAACCTTTTTTTCATTTTCTTTTAATGAAATGAAGTAGTCTTTAAAATTCCCTATCACTCTTCCATATGATCAAAACGGAAAATATTCCATTATTTAAATATGAGGTATTGAAAAGATTTGGACAATTTTCTATTTGAAACAGATGTCAAACAGACTTTTTTTCTTTTCATTTTCTGAAGTAAAATATGATCAAAATTATAATAGGATATTTCTTTTTATTATAGATTTCTTTTTATTATGAGGTGTATTTTTCCCAATTCTTGTTTTTGATACCTAAAGACTGAATACACAGTTGAAAACAGTTTGATTTTTTGCATTCATTTAATATTTTTCTTGTCCTAACTTCTTTCTCATTTTCAATTCAGGAATTCAAAAGCATCAAGTGGAGGTTTACTTCAAGACAACCATGCTATGACACATGCAGTTCAAACTAATAACTCAGCAATGGCAGCTACATCAGGAGCAATGGCAGAAGTGAGACCCATGGATGTTGAGATGTCTGATACAAATGACAGCTGCCCAATTTGCCTCTGTGATTTTACAGACAAAAAGACCTTGGACAAATGTGGGCATTCATTCTGTTCTGCTTGCATTGACCACAGCTTCTCTGCAGTCGGACCTTACTGTCCAGTTTGCCAGACAGTTTATGGCAAAATAATTGGACAACAACCTCCAGGAACAATGAGCACAAAGAAAGAAAAACGTTCTTTGCCAGGTTTTCTTGAATGCAATCTTTATAAAGTGGAATATGAAATACCAAGTGGAATCCAAGAGGTTTGTCACAATCTCTTCTTCTTCTTCTTCTTCTTCTTCTACTACTACTACTACTACTACTACTACTACTACAACAACAACAACAACAACAACATTATTATTATTATTATTATTATTATTATTGATTTTCACCTACCCAATACAATGTTTTGGCATAATTTAACAGACAGTAAGGTAATTTCTGGGAAATAGCTAGTCCTTCCAGGGTATAACTGACATCTTCTGCAGATTTATATTTCTATAAAGAATGTCCTGGGCCTTTAGAATTTCAGATTAAACTAACTTCAGATAAAATGTTGCCAAAACTGGAAAAAATGTCTTTATAAGTTTCTCATAATCTTTTTCATATAGGGAGAGTTTTTTTTTTTTTTTTTTTTTCTATACTAGAATTCACTTAATTCAAGGCCCAAGAGGCATTGAATGAAAGAGGAAATAATAGAAAATGCAGATTAAAAGGACAAGGAGGATTGATGACAATGATAACCCTTGAAGAATTTAAGATTGTAGTTTTCAGGGAAGTACTCACACATTAACTTGTTCCATAAAGTGACAGTTCTTAGGAACATTCCCCTTACATTTAGGAAAGATTAGATGAGGGTAATTCATCTCCTTGGAAGTAGCACAGTGAATACTAGTTGTAAAGGTCTGAACTGGTGGATTTAAAGAATGGGGGTCATCTGAACATTTGTCATGGAAATAGCAATAGAGTAGCGAGAGGTTTTGTAATGTTGTGTCGATATTAAAGTGAATGCAAAGTAGAAAATATGTCTTACCTCACAAGACAGCATAAACGATTTTAAACAGGAAAGTGAAAATTGAGCAGCTCCAGTCGAAATGTGGATGCAATCCTTCATTTTTAACCTGATCTGAAAGATACAACATGGTAGAAGGTGCCAAATTCTTTCTTCAGTAATATAGTAAGCCAACCATTTTTCCAGCTTTTTTATCAATGGATTGTATATATGAGTTACACTTGAGATCTGGAGTGAACTCAAGTACCAACAGACATTCAAAGCCAGAAGCTTCCTTGAGAGTACAACAGTTCGTCATGACGAAACAATACCCGTTTCATTGCAGGGGCTGGGTAATTGCTCAAATATCTTACTGGAAATAACCACAAAGTACCTAGTAAAAAGGATTTTTCCAGACTGACAAGCCAAGACAATTTTTAAAAAAATAATTTTTTTAATCATTTCATTCCAACCAAGGCAATAAAGCCACAAAGACTCAAGGGAGTTACTGAGTGGGAGAGATTATAAGAAAACGAAAACATTATTAAAGAGAGGGAGAAAGAGCAGGAATTAAGAAGACAAAAGATAACAATTGACATTACATTTAAATTTTTTGAAGAACAAAGTTGAATGAAAGCAGGAAGCCAGATGAGAGTTCCACAGATGAGAGAAGACACTATTAGAATAAAACTTATAATTACATCTAACAAAATACAGCAGTAAAATGATGAGGCTTAGCTGCCAATCTTGTACTACACATAAATTCATCAAGTCAAGGTTCCAAAAGAAAGATCATTGGAACAATTGCTCTGAAAATATTTATAAAAAATATACAGGGAAACTACATTACAGCAGTGGTAAACTGATTGAAGCCAAGATGTCAGTTCAAGCCTGATAACATTACAAATTCTTCATTGATTTTATCAAGAATCTCTAACTATATAACAGAAGTACCAGATCAGATGTGGCAGTAATATTTGATGCATGGACAAATGGTAGCCTTCAAAAGAGGTAAGATATCAGTGATGCTGATAGGTTTTTTATGTGGGTCCTCAAGACCCACTGGCTGAGATTTGGGTGGGTCTCTAGGAAATTCAATGGATCCCAATTAAAGTTTCTTAATAAATTTTTGTGCTAAACTGCAGGACTACAGACTTAACAATTTTAATCATACCAAATCACTTATATAAATAAATAAGCTCTGTTAATTCGTAGTTAGAGATGTTGAATTTTTTTGGAAGATGAACAGTAATAAAATTATCTTTCATTTCAATGGTATGCTAAAATCAACTTCAGTGTTTTATAACCTGAACCATCAGTGATCCAATGGGTCATGGGTAGTCTAGTATTCTATAAAAATTTAAATAAACCCATGTTTACAATGTTGCACGTGGGGTAGGGCAATAAAATTTGAATGATTAATATACTGCCATTTTCAAATTTTCCCTGATGATTAAACTTTTGAGCCCTTTATAATAAATACCATATTAGCAAATATCCAAAAATTGGATGAGAATTACTTCCACATTTAAGATATTGTCCAAACTTTTTACCATTAAAGTATCACTTGTTTTGTTCTCTGAAATTGTTCTCATCTGGTCAACTATTCAAACTGTCAAAATATTCCAGAGTATTCATCAGAAAATTCCTGAAAGATTTTAGTTAATTTAAAAAAAAAAAAAAATGGAATTATAATTTTAATATTCTAATATTTAGATCTTTTAATTTTTACATTTTACATTTACAGAAATGTCACCCAAATCCTGGAAAGAGATTTTATGGTGCAAAGAGGACTGCCTATTTACCTTCAAATAAAGAAGGGGAAACTGTCCTGAAAATGCTTCAGAAGGCTTTTGAACAGAAACTTATCTTTACTGTTGGAGATTCCCGGACCACCAACATGACAGATGTTGTAACTTGGAATGACATTCACCATAAAACAAACATTTTGGGTGGTCCCAGCAGGTATGCAATGGCTTATTTTTTTTTTTTTTTTTTCTCTCCATATTATTGTGACATTGTCATGGCATGTAATATTAAAATAGTGTTTGGCCAATTACAGTCGTTGTTTTGTATTAGGCTGTACTGATTGTGTTAAGGTGTTAGTCTTCAGGTCTTTACACTAAAGTCACATTGTTTTTGTTTCTTACTGAAAGTTGAATCAGATGTCTTTTCACCAGGTGAAAGATTTTCTTGTAGTAGTAAATATTACAACACATATGGCCTGTATTGACTTCCACATTTATTATTCTCAGTAGGGGAATTTTACTGACTCCTTGTCAGTGACAGAGAGCGTTCACTAATTGAGAGAAACCCCCCCTCACATCTTACAGACCCCATCATTTTCTACCAAGTGAAAAATTATCACTAAAAAATTTTGGAGATGGAAAACTACTTTTCTACCAGGAAATATTGGATTCTCACTAGTTACTAATTCGGATATTTACAGGCCCAGAAAAAGATACCGGTACACCCAGGCTTCTCATCCTTTTCATTTGTGGGACTTGTGACCATTATGAATGACCCTGTCAAATATATCATATTTCAGAAGTACTATACATTTCCAACAACCAGTGTGACTTTTTATTAATTAGGTCTTTTTCCGTTTTTTTTTCTTTGTAATACTTACTCTCCTTCTCTGTCTATATCTCTGAGATTTGGTATTATGATTACTTGCATTATTTACATTATTTGGATTGTTATCCTCATGTTCATTGCCATATTCACAACATTCCGGCCATTGTACGCTTTGGCCTTCTTCAGGTGATAGGAATTTCAAACTGAACCCTTTATTTCGTCCACCAGGATAGATTGTTCTAGTTCCACATGAAGACATTTGCTAGATCCAGTGACTAGACCCAAAGAGTTGTGAGTTCAATACCAGGCCACAGCAGTGGTGAACCAAAACTTGGAGAAATTACCAGCAATAAAAATGTTGTTGGCATTAAATAACCTATTGAGGTTGATATGCCATAAAACAAAACAAACATTAATAATGTTTTCTTTTTCTCATATTCTTTCATGCTCAATAACCTTTTATGCACTACTGAATTTATTGCCTTGCTTGGAGTGAAATAATTAAAATATGAAACAGTCTATCATAAAAAATAATGTTCTGATCAACTTACCTATTTGTACCAAGACTTTATGAATTTAAGTGCAGTACTAGATTGACAGGAAGTCTTGTCATCTTATAGCTGAAATGGCTTGATGTAACCATAAATTCTATGCTAACAGTTTCTTTTCTCATACTTCTTGCTTGTAGAACTTTCTTTTTTTCTTCTTGTTTTCCAGTCAACTTTGATCTTCAAAAATTTAAATACAATGTCAATCATTATCTTCTGTCTTCCTAATTCTTATTCTTTTATTGTTTTCTCACTTTAATAATGTTTAATTTTTTGCATATTCTTTCACACTCCGTAATCCCTTACACCTTAGTGGCTTTATTAGCTTGCTCGGGATGAAATGATTAAATAAAAAAAATGTTGCACAGAGCCACAATATTAGAACAATGGTTGAGAATTGAACTCTAGACTCTATATTTGATAAGATTTGCTTGGTAACTATTGACAATTAGTTCATTGCTCTTTATTTCTCAAAGTATATTTCAATCTTCATGTTCTGTATACCTGTTAGCATTTTATTTTGTTTGTCTTTTAGGTATGGCTATCCAGACCCAGACTATTTGAACAGGGTCTCTCTGGAACTGGAGACCAAAGGCATTACACCAGCAGATGTCTTTGGCCAGAAAATAAAACCAAAAATCTCAAACTAAGAAATCAGCTTCAATGCTAACATGTTAAACTCCTATCAGTGCCTGGAATTCAAATTCATGATTCTAAATTAGAAGAAGTCTTCTTCTGTTCTTTTGTGTTGTTGATTGAAAGCATGGTCCCAAATGGAATATGGTCATGCATATGCTTTCATCACAAATGAAGATATGTGGATTGTATTTTTAACAAAACTGCAAACATGGTCCCAAGTGTTTTCATCACAGAGAGACAGAAATAGAATAAATAAATGAAGTTATTTCATTTTAAATCTCAATTTTAGTAACTTCATTTAAAATAATTATAATAATGTATAAGATTTTATAAATTTTTGTTCATCTGTGATAAAAAGATTTGGGACCATGCTTATAGACTTGATAAAATTACAGGAACATATACAGAGGTTGTAACTTTACCACCTTCAACTGGGGACCATTATTTCAGAAAATACAAAAATTATTTCCAAAGAAATGTTAACTATTACATTTTTGGTAGATTGTTTGCAAAATGCAAACATTTTTTGCTGATATGGATGTTTTGAAAAAAAATTGTTTGTTATTAAAAAAAAAAAAACATCACACTTTTTTACAGTTGTATAAAGATTGTTTCAATCCAAAGTTATTCTTTCAATCCAATATCGAAATATACTGTAACCAAGTCCCTAAAGCTGGATCACTTATACTAGCTGTCTTTAGGCTCTTTTTGGTTACAGGTCATGAGTACTCTTGTTTAGTATTGTCATGTAATTACTCACTAAACCAAAAATTTGTGATGTTTTGATGAACCATGACAAGTTTATTTCTGAAAAAGTAGAAGTCTGTCTGCTGCCACTTGAAAAACAAGAAGAAAAATAGAAGTTTTTTCTTCTATAAAAATAAATAATTATTTTTATTTTATTTTTTCAGCGTACATTTGTCAATCCACCTCTGTTCATCTTCTATCGCTGCAGGGAATAAAACTAGTTATTTCCCTTGCACTTGTGATCAGAGGTTGGGGTGGTAACAATTTTCTGTTTGAACCCTTTCTTTTCTTAGTAACAATGAGCATTCACATTTGTCTTTTCAGGTAATGGCTGCCTGGCTTCAATTTTTTCTTTTTTAGAAACTACCTTTCTGTAACTCTTCGAAACATTTTTTTCATGTGTAATTACAATATGACAATAATAAGCAAGTGTAACCTCTGTGAACTCTGAACTGGTGGAAGTAAAGAATGGATTGTTTATCTGGACATTTGCCATGGAGCTCTCAGTATCTTCAGGTTTTTTTTTAAACATTTTGCCCCAAGAAAGGCAGGAGTGCCACTAGCACACAAGGGGTTACAGAGAGGAGAGAGCAAGAGTAAAGAGGAGGGTGTTTGAGGAAAAGATATAAAGAAGGACGGGGATCAGGATCAAAGCATCAGAAGATTATATTTGAATATTATAGCTATCAGGGAAGCAAGTAAGAAGAAGAGAGCTCCACTGTCAGGAAGTTTGAGAGCTGTTGGAATAGAAGAGATGGTTACACTTAATTTTTTCAACAGTAAAAAAGGTGGAACTGAGATGCCAACCTAGTATCACGCTTAAATTCACGCAGTTAGGATACCAACGAAACTAGCTCGTCAGAGCAGTTGCCATGAAAATATTCGTAGAAAAGACAGAGGGAAGTCACATCATGCCGGTGAGAAAGTGACTGTAGATGAGATGCCAGATCAAGACTTACATTTGGAAAAGAGGCTGCAGTGAAAAATTTCATTCCAATTCCAGATCATCATTGATGTTTTTATCTTGAGTCCTATATCACAGAACGTTTGGTAGAGGATGTTGATTTTCTGTTGAAGATCATTCTTATCCCAACTATGTCTACTTATGTCATCAGCATAGGTCATCAGTACATTGTCCTCTGGTGGGGAAGCAGGATCATTGTTTTCTGTTGGTAGATTTATTTGGGATGTAGTATGGAGTGCTTAAACAATCTCTTTGCATTTGTGTTTGTAAATGCACAGGGCAAAACAATTCTATAATTGATCAGGGGATATGCAAAGGATTTTTGGCTTATTCAGTTAACATTTTTTTATTTATTTTATACCTTTTATACATTCATTCTAACTTGTGTGTATGACAAAGGGATTTTCAAAGATTTATGTTTATTTATTTTTTTTCATTTTGTCTAGGTTTTTCATAAACAACATTGTTTTTATATAGGAGGGGAATTTCAACTTTATATAGTAAACAATAAATCTAGGGAACTTGTTAAGATTAAGTGATATAGCCTCATCAGATCTAGAATCTCATATGAATGCCATGCATGTCATTCAACTGGTTCAGAGACTATCATCTATAAACATCTGTTTTCTGAGATCAAAAATTAAAAATGGCTTCAAGTGAAAGAATCCCTTATGTCTTAATGATCATCTCTCATCAGACTCTATTGTCTGGTGCCACAAAATCATAAATAAAAATCTTTACCAAATAACAAAAGAATACACATTACTTAAAGACTTCCAAAAGTAGCAACAGCTAAAATGTATAGCATATGTAACTAGATTGAAAATAATGGCATAATCAAGATGTTGGCTTTCCACACTATCTTAGACAAAGAACTTAGATAGAAACTCCCATCAGTTCTAGAAAAAGTGATCAGAGCTTGTGGATTTGAAATTTAACATAAGCATTAAGCCAAAGTGGGTCAAAATTTAATTTCTTGAAATTTTATAACATTAATTAAGTGGCGAGTAACAGATGTAAAAAAGAAAGTCTATTTTTACTAAGACTTTCTAAAAACAAAAAAAACATAACTGAAATAATTACATTCATTTGTGAGTAAGTCCTGAAATTTTCATTAAAATCTGACAAGCAATGTTTTTCACCACAAAAAAAAGATGCTAAAATTTCCTGTACTAATCTTTGCTGACAAAAAAAAACAATTCTAACTAAAAATTTATAACATTCTAAAAAGGATAAAAAAAAAAATTAAATAATCAAAAAATCATTTGGTATTTTCATCTTAATAATAGCATAAAGATTTTGACACTGAAACATTTTTAATAAGTTTTCATTATGATATGTTAATTTTAGCAAATCAATGGTGGTACCTACATTAGTTTAAGGTGGTTATTTTTTATTTTATCTAAGTGTTTTGTAAACAGTACTCTCTTTTTACATAGCAAAATAGGATGACTAGTTATTTTAGAGAAAGCATGTTAACTATGTTGGTAACACTTCTTCAGAGTCATTGGTGTTTCAATTTAAATAGAAAAACAAAATTATTCCACAAAAAGAAACTAATTCTGGATCAGATCAAAACCTCCAGTGGTCTCAGATTGTGTTACTGTTCTGGATCTGATTGTGTTTTATCAAACCAATATTATCTGACCTTTTTAACAACAAGCCGGTTTTAGTAATAAACTTTAAACATAGTTTATCATGAGGATGAATGTGGAAATATATTTAAAAAAATAGCAACCACAATACTGTCTTCATCTAGTAGAAGTCAACTCTGGTTGGGTACACTTAAAAATCAAGCTACTAACTTGTGAACTGGTCTGTGAAACTTACTGTTGCATATCATATGGCAACGTTTTTATTTTCTCTTGCATAAAACTACAAGTTTGTATTCACCAACTATTTTTGTTGTTTTTAATGTGTTAATATCTCGACATGATACTCCATCAAACAAAATAACATTTAATCTGTTAATACTCTTACCAATCAGTATTACTTCTAAAATCATTAGTTTTTGAAGTCATTTGAGATAGCTAGTGTTTGACGCTATTTAATTGTATGAAATTACAGAATGGTGATTTCAGTGGGTTATTGGATAATAATTAATAACATTCTCAGCAGGGTAGGTTGAATGGTTAAGAAGAAAATGAAAAAAGATATTTGTTAAAATTTATTAATTTTTAAAATAATAAAATGAATTTAAGAATATATTCATGAAAAATCAGACCCAGAATTAACTAAACAGAATTCAGTAAATTATTTACCCTATTTACATTGTTCGGACTATTGTACTCATCTTTGTTGACATATTCATGACATTTTGGCCATTGTATGTTCCGGCCTTCTTCAAGTCATTGGAATTTCAAGCTGAACCTTTTATTTTGACAATACCCAGCCCTATCCACTTCCCAGCGATAAGAAGAAGACATGATTAATATATTGTCCAAGTTTCTTTGGTCCTGAGAAATTACAATTGAAAGTTTATTTACATTATACTATCTGTCCAAAATGTGTGCGTGCTTACAAATCATTCTAGACAAAGAAGAATTTTGAAATTAAATTTGGGTATTTTTTGTATATATTAGGCTATATGTCCAAAACATGTGGTCACAGAACATGATCCAAATTATTCTAGAACAAAACGTTTTCGTTTTTTTTTTTTTTAATCCCCAATACTGGGTTTGTTTATGTTGCTCACCCAAGAACGCATTTATTTTTGCAGAAAGATATCTACAAAGATTCTAAACAAAGAAAATACCATATTGTTTTTAACAAGGTTTTTAAGATGGTCAGGTGGAGAAACTAGATATATCCATGTCAATTTTTTTTTGTGTCGTGGGTCATCTATATTAACAAGAACTCCCCCAGGCCAAATGAGACACAGAAAATCAAACCAACAAGGAAGGTCACCAGAGATTCACAAAGTTTACCACAGCCACATTCAGAAATTACACAATCTTGTCTGTGGTACACAATGTACACAGAGTGGTCCAAACTAGACTTTGCTTTCTATCTCAATTGCAAAATTTTTGAAAATCCAAATCAAGTTGACACATCAGCGCCCAACCAAGAAGTAAAAAGAATGTAAGATCAGTATTACTCAACAAGGAGAAGAGACAGAACCAAAAAGGGGTGGTGTGTTGTTAGACTTGTCAACAATGAGGGTTATATTTTCACAAAATCACTAAGAGTTCCACCTGTCTACCACTTTCAGGGTAAAGAAGTCGGATCTTGTAACCATTTTCAAATGCTGTTTCATCAATTAGTAAAGAAATTGTTCACTTCTATTTTGTAAACCTAACA